CCGCCGGTAATGCATGGAAGCTTCGACTTATATGCAGTTGAGCTGGAGACTTTCCTAAGGCGCATGAATGTTTGGAGTGTGATTGAAGATCCAAGTGGAATTCTACAAATGATGCACAGTTTGCTCTAATGGATAATATAGCTCGCGGTGCTATTCTACATGGAGTACCAACTGCGGACGCTGAGCTAATCTGTCATGAGACAAACGCTCACGCGATGTGGGTTCGTTTTGTCAACAAGCAAACAAAAAGAGAATATGCGAACTATATCTTCGCGCGACAACTGTTGTATGCAAATAAGTATGCTCATGAGAGGAATATGAACGAGTGGCTGCGTGAGATGCAGCTCCAGCGTAATGAGTTACTGCATTACAAGAAGGTGATTTCTGACGAGGAGTTTGCAGAAATTATCCTAAGTAATATGTTGCAGACACATCGTGAAGTTGTTCGTCAATTCTCAAAACATTACGACCCTGGTTATCAGCATTCGGCCCCAACTTCAGCTCAAGTGGTGAACGCTCTCCGGACTGAGTCAGAGCTTGACGCACGGTGTGATGAGCCTTCACTAGGACCAAATATCTCGTCCGCGCAAGCTGGCAAGAAGCAAGGCAAACTTCAGAACCAGCAGCAGGGCCAAGAAAGAGCTAAAAAGCGTGGTCGCGGTAGATACAAAGCCAAGAGTAATCAGAATCAGAATTCTGGTGGTTCTGCTGGAGTTCAAACTGGTAACAAGAAGGAAAAGGAGGACACTCGTGAATGCTGGAATTGCCACGAGACCGGTCACATCCAGAGAAATTGCCCCCGCTCAAAACCCGATAACGACGAGTCAAAATCGCAACTTCCAGAGCGCAAACGCTGGGAAAATAAGAAAAAATCTGGAGGTAGCAGCAGTAACCAGAGACAAATTGCCATGCTTTCACGACAGGAGTGTAAACCAAAGCCTGTTGCTGCACAGCAAGCCATCAATGTGGTTGTGGAGTGGATCTTGGATTCTGCAAGCGATTGTCATGTGTGCACTAGCAAAGATATACTGTCGAGTTTTCGCCAAGATGATGGTCCATTAGTATTTGACTGGGAAGGCAAGGCATCAAGCAATTCTGGGCAGGTTGGGGACGTGGAAGTCCGTGTGAAGAACGAGAGTGAACCGCACGCAAGTGCATCGCTGCAACTGTCTAAGGTGCTCTACACCCCCAGCGGAACTAATAATTTGCTAAGCTTAGATAAGCTGAAGCAAGACGGATGGGACTTCATAAAATTGAAGAGAACGAAATGCGCGTGGCTCCGAAAAGACAACATATTATTGAAGTTAGTGAAGACAAGTGGACGATATCGACTTCGCTCCACGGCCATTTCTTCGCAGCAAGTAAAGTCCATTACACGTGAAAACGAGCAAGCTCTCGCGCGATGGCACACCCGCCTCGGACATCTGAATTATGGAGCCTTGCAGGAAATGGTGAGAAACGAAACTGAAGGTGGTTTAGATTTGTCTGGCAGTGTGTGTGCACCTAGCGATCGATGCTGGACGTGCGTACAGTCGCGAATGAAGCAAATGTCCTACAAGAACCTGGATACTGCTAGATCAATTGTATCTTACCAGAAGCTTATGTTCGACATGTGCTATGTGGGTGTGGCTACCTACAACGGATACGAGCATTTCCAGCTTGTGGAAGATGAAGCTACACGTTACGTGTGGGGATTCCTCTTGAAGAGGAAGCAAGAAGCATGTGACGTGGTAATGAAGCATATTGCCTGGCTTCTAGCACAAAATCACAAAATTGAGGTGTTCGGTTCTGATCAAGGGCGGGAACTTGTGAACAACACTTTGAAAATGTTTCTGAGAGCTCGAGGGATTATGCTTGTGACCACAAACGCCTACAGTCCTGGAGAGAATGGATTAGTAGAGCATATGAATGGGCTAGTGCTGTCTCGAGTCCGCAGCTTATTAACTACGGTGAACATGCCGAAATTACTGTGGGGAGAAGCATTTACGTTTGCGGTGGAGTTGTTGAACATTAGTCCAACTAGTGCATTAGCGGGTGAGACTCCATATACTCGACGCTTTGGTGAGCGACCAGATATCTCTTCTTTGAGAACGTGGGGCTGTCTGGCGTATTCGTTCACACAGAAAGTATTGAGAAAGGATAAATTGGAGAATCCGGGGAAACCATGCCTGTTTCTTGGATATGCAACGAATACAATCAGCTACCGCGTGTTAGACTTGAAGACGGGTAATGTTGAGGAGTGCAGAACGGTTGAATTTGCTGAAGATTGGACAGTGGAGTGCGGTTATGTCGAGAAGCTTCTGCGCAACCGAGACTCCCACAGCAATTATCAACTTCCGATCAAGATTCCCTATATTCGACTGGATAATTTAACATCGCCGAGTTCTTCTACGACTCTCGGAACGCTAGATAATGAGAAACATCGTGATAAACGGCAGTGTCGCCATGAGCTAGTAGATCTCCGCACAAGTACCGTAGCTGAGACTCCAACCACTCTGGGTGGGCCAACGTTGGCTACCGTACCTTCAAGTGGTATGTCGAGTGCGAATCCGACGAGACCAGCAGAGGCTGAGGCTCGATCGTCGCGTGCACGCGGGCTACGCGGATGGAATCCTTACTGAAGATTGTTCGGTCTCTGATGGAGGAGGTGATGTAGAAGGTGAGAAAAACCTGTCTAACCGCAGTAATTCTATGCCTTCGAAGGCGTCACTAGCTCTCAGTGATCGGGATGATATAGGTGACTTATAGTTTGTATTAAACCCGAACTTAATCTACCTATAAATATAATCAGTTTACAATCTAACTTATTGAGGTCACTTCGCTCTCTTTTAAATAAAGAGGGGACCTGTGAACTGCCGTTCACTGAGAGTTTTAATACTCTCGGAAGATAACTTCCTCTAGCGCAAGGTGCTGTGTGACCCCGTCACACTTGGTAGC